ATCCTTCTGGGTAGCCGGCCATGCTGAGCATGGTCGACAGCATATTCCCCGGGCCGGTATTCCAAAGGGTGTGATCAGCCCCATCAACTGAAGCTTGCCCAAACATATCCCGGCCATGTTTGGTAGACGGCTTCTGCAACCTGTGAGGCTTCTGCAAGCTTGGTCAGCCGAAGTGTATGAGGTGGCATACTCCTGCGAGGATTTGTGAATTGTAAATACTTGAAAAGCACACAAGGCGCCAGTAGGTAAAGAACGCTTGAAATTCTCAAGGTGTTGGAGACCAGTCATGGAGGTTCGGATCAGTTTTGAGAAGACCGTTGAACTATGTTGTAAGCGTATCGACGCCAGCGAGGAGGATGAAGCGGAATAAATCATGTTGATGCGACGCTTTCAGAGCTCTGATGTCTTCACGCAATGAATTCATGCCATATCAAACTGCTTTTGCTGCAATTATATACACCGAGGCGCAAAATCTCAACATGTTTCTGCAGACTGCAACTATCCGTACCCTGGTCTTTACCAAAAAAGCTAGGCTCCCGACCTGGACTCTGAAACAAATGAAATCGAGTGACAAGAAATGCTTGAAAGCGGCTAATGAATATTTTTGAATCGCGAATAATGTGCAGGAAAGAACCATGACACAATTTGTCAATCAGTAGTACCTACCTACTTCTTCCTTGTGATAGATGCATCAAGGGATACAGATGCACCCGATCATCACGTATAATTCCACCGCTCTTGTCTGCAGCAATTATATGCAAGCGCGAGAAATGTGCTCATTGACAACAGTCTCTCATCCCAGCTGAAGGACTTGATCTGGCGAATAATCCATCGAGAGGCGATGCGTTGACGTCCAAATACAGCTTTAGGTTTCCTGCTGAGCAAACATGGAGTTAGGCCCATACTAGGATCGACATATACATGACCTGCACCCTCCGTGATACCTTACTGCTACGGTAGCATTTTCTCTAGGTTATCCGCATGAGCTCCAATCCAGTTGTCCTACATTATGAGGAGATTGTACCAGTACTGTCTGGATACCTACGTATGGTCAACTCTTCGGAAGTGCATCCATTCTCGCCGTCCTTCTTTAGCATGTCAGCTTCCACGAAACCGCCACAACGACTATAGTCTGCATTGTAATGAAGCACGACAGGAATCACAATGTAGTACGCATCTTCAAAATATCCTGCACCACTCTCGATTCCAAAGCGCTATTCTAGAGACGCGAATCGACAAAAATGGCACGGAGTTGGGGAAAACAAAAGTGGGGTAATGCGTGAGGATTGTTTTTGCATAAAATTTGAATGATGATTGGATAAAAGTCGGTTGAACAGCGAAAACACGAAGGGTACCGGGGTTCGTCTTGGTGAGTAAACTTTGATTAAGGGATCAAAAGGCAAAAAAGAGCAAAACGAGATTCTCCCCGACCGGAATCGAGCCGGTGACCTTTCGATATGATTTATCAATTACAGTCGAACGTGATAGCCAACTACACCACAAGGAGTTTATTTGATGGAAGTTTAGTAGGGAAACGGGGTCCATTACGTGGGAGTGGGGCCTTAGTCTAAGCAAAAGTTGGGATCCACTTTATCCTACTTTAACTTCCTGAGGTTATTGACAGTAGAGCGAAGTGATCCTTTGCGCTTGTTAACATTTGTTAATTTACCAACCGTCTGGGGGCATTTCACAACTGTAATGGTTACAGGTTGAGAATGTGCTATTTTTTTTCAAGATTGAATCATTAGAAGTCGTTTTTTTCCTTTTGAACTTGTGGACTTCATGTTGGCGAACTTGATTGATTCAGCTGTCCGAATTCGATGATAGCGCTTTACCGCTTTCAGTTTCAGTTTGCGCAGGGTTTGGGAGCTGTTGGACGTTCTCTTGCAGATGAAACACTTGTCTCGAATATGGTGCTTAAATTAACGACATCTCAATCTCTCTACAGACCGAAACCGTACACTGTCTGTAATCTCTCTCAAAGCAGAGGTCTGACCCTCCATTACCTATACGTCAAACCGCCACATTGCTTTGGCAGCGAAGAGTTTGACTCACCCCCTTCGCAACATATATCGTGTCGATCTTTGCACCAACACTTATCCGTGGCATGATTATTTCGAACTGCTGCTTATTTCGCTCATTGAGCTGTCCGCCCTTCTCGTGAGTGAGCAGCTGCCCGAAGTAGTGGTGGTACAGGGTCCCGTGGCGTTGGAGGCGGGCTGCCATCTCTTCTCTGTTTGACGTCAAGTTCATGGACGAGGCAGCGAAGAGACACATAACACACTATCTGCAGTTTATTAGTTCACTGTGTGACGTACAATACAATTGATTGCATGTGGATCAACATACCGCCCCGAGTGCAATCACAATTACCTGACCGAAGGAGATGTCCAGCGACCGCCACTCTACCTCGAAGAAGACGGCAAAAGCCATGTGGCTGAGGAGAAGATATCAAATGTCGGGTTGCTAAGGGGTTATTGGTTGTGATATCAAAAATAAAATCATGTGCTTGACAATAACCTAGATAGTTAATCGCGCACAAGTATACCAGCAACAGTCAATCTCGGGTTGGGAATGAAGTGACAAACACAGGTAGTTGAGAGAGGAAGAGAGCACTGGCGCAACTGAAGACGGATGACCTGACTCATGTTTCTAGTTTACGGCCGTGGCTGTGACACAGCTGACTCTAAGCGCTGTCCAATTTTAAACCAATCTTTCCCGGTTAGTCAAGCAACACAGCATCTATCTATACAGTGTGCAATGTAGTAACACCGTCGAGGAAGCGGTTCAGGGGCGGGTTAGGCGGGATCCGCTGTGGTCCGATGTCATTTGCACAAATCACACGCCGAGGTCTACGCAATCACTAATTTGTTTGAAACGTAGAGACAGTGGACATTATCGGCAGAAAGGTTCAGACAGAAGACATGGAATCAAAGGAACGTCATGGACTGAACCCGGAATCACAAAAGCACCACCTTGCGCCAACAATGAAAGCCGGTCCTTCCGGTGAGCGGGTACTGAGTAGACATAGGCCTTAGTAAGTATGATACGCTAGCCATTACGAGATGGACTAGGTGGGTTGAAGGAGGCGGATGAGTTGAATGTGAAATTAAGGAGGATAGTCGACGGCCAAGCTTAAATACTTATACAACCTGTCCCACGGCGTCAACAACATGGACAGAGACCTGGACGACATCGCAAGACATCGTGGACCTCGGAAGTACGGCATGCTGCCTATGTGTCTCTCAGCTATCTTCCTTTCTCCGAGGTCGGGCACCATCAACCGAGTCGAACAGGCTTATCGTTTTAGCCGATTGCCAACTAAGAAATGGAAGACAACTTTTCTCTCCCAGGTTCTAATGACTCACCGCGGATGTTCACGTTCTGAATACAAGTACGGAGCTCGACAACCCAAACCCACTACATCACATTCATATGTAAGGTAATTAATTCAACATGGCTGGTTAGGTACCTGGGTCGGCAATGTTGTTGATTGCTCAATGGGAGAATAACTACTTATTTCTCCACCTCCTACATCCCGACATATACTAGGTACCTTACATAAACAACTCAGCATCGGTTCCCCATGTTCCTCCACAAGCATCCAATATCCTGTTCGTGTGCTTCATCGTGTCATGCATCCGGCCCGCGGTAATCGACATGCTCATCGAACTGATCACTTGAGCTTAGCCTTCGGCTCGTGTCCGGGCTTATAATTCCCATCGAAGTCGAAGTCCTCCATTTGTCCGCGACTGCACTCGCACTTATCCTCAGTCAGTTTGATGCTGTAGTCATCACACGCAGCTCCCACCAACACCCTGATCGGTGCATCTAATTACGAAGTCGGGACTTGGCGTTTCGTCCTCCTTATAGGCCCATCCGACAACCCACTTCGAAGGCATCGGCAAGGACGGGTCTATTGGATTACTAGACTTAGGTAATGCCCAGCTCGGGGCGAGAAGCGATGCCATGAAGATGAAGGAGAGTATGATGGACTGAGTGAAGAATCATGCGTTAGAGGGATGGCACAAGGTGTGGTTGCAGGAAAGGTGATCATGACCTTCATTTTGACGACCGAAATGTGGCTTGGGCAGTAGTCAGGCGGTTATATCCTGGATGCAGTTGTTGGCTGGTGATAGAGGTTTTGGTAGCTCGGATGTCTTGGTTCAGAAGTTTGCGTTGATCTGGGAAAAGTGAAAAGAGAAGAGTTTGCCAGATTGTATGCTACCAACTCAGGTTCGCCAATCACACCTGCTGGATACATTCCAATACGGCCTTCGATTTACGAACCGGGAGAAGCTCGAGCCGAGTCGAGGGATTCATCACAATGCCCTTGCCGAAAGGCGAATCATTTAGAGGCTTCGGATGAACCCCCATACTGCTGCTGTTTGCTGTTATTTTGTGCGCGCGTGAGGCATGCGCATCCTGCGCAGCTCAGCTTGCAGGATCATAGTCAGGCAGACCTCTGTTGTCATGTAGAATTTTCGGCCGTTACGGAAGCGGCACTAACTCGTGTGCAGGTAACAACGGTCAGAAGGCGAAATGACGTGGCTAGGCACCCAATCAAAGAATCTAAAGAGGACACTAATCTTTGTGAGATGATCATCAGTCTCACCCCTCTAGTTCTAGCACTTCAGCTTGTCAGAGCAGCCGAGCATCTGTTCCATACTTAGCCGTTTGCTAGCACAACTGCTCAGCTAGGCCATACAGACAGTGACCACAACAGAAAAATACAATCAATGACAGTCACATCACCATATCATCCGCGCATCAATGAACTGGGCAACCTCGGAGCAACAAGAGGACGTGGGACGATGCGTTGGTCAGATGGTTCCAGGAAATCCCCTTCCTCGTTCTGCACTTCAACGCCGATAATAAATATGTGTCATAGGCTCATAATAGAAGGATAGGATGAACTTACCGGTAACGCAATTGAATACCCTGATGACGGTAGTGACTTGTGCCGTGACAACACATCTTTGTCTTATCTAATAGTAACCGGTTGCGTGGCCCAGTGGTTAAGGCATCTGCTTTACAGTTCGTAAAATGGATTGAATCGCAGAGGATCGCAGGTTCGAGCCCTGCCGCGATCATTAACCTTTTGCTATATTAACTAATATTACTTGCTCCACCTGGCATCCAGTCAAGAAGGCTCAGCCTCTCTTTTTGCTTTAACTTGAGATCTTTAAACTTTGTCCTTGGCTTCATTTGCCCATCGGGGTCCCTTAAGCCAGTTGTTTGTGAACAGCACAAAAGTATGTAACTCACTAGCAGTGTCTCCAGCATGGCAGAGTACCCGGCTTGTCTATATGCTCATTTGTGTGATATAGGCGTCTTGTTCGAAGTATGTTAAGAAGAAACAATAGAAGTAACGAGTAGAAATCAAGATTGATGAGCCACAATACTAACCAGAAATCACCTCATCAGCACCACGTATCGAAAGATCAGACGAAACAGCGCATTGATCAAGAGTGCACGCACAATAGCTTCACCTACGATACCTTACACAGTCTTGTGACAGAAGTAAGTCATACAATAGGATAGGTAGAGTTGGACCAGGCCCGTCGGCATTCCATCAAACACAGCCCAGCTGGCTTGTGAACCTCTACGGCTCTCGAAAAGAAAAGCCCAGCACTATAATAGCCGCCATCGTATTTTCTTCAATGATTCCTCCCATAGAACCCAGCCACTATCTATCTCACCAACCCGTACCAAACCCAGCAAGAACCACCATGGCCCACATCCTAGCCAGCCGCTCCTCCTGGTCCACCACCGCCGACCGCCCCATCTTCGATCTCTCTCTCTTCCAGCAGCAACAAGACGCCATCGTCCCCAACAGCGACAGCAGCTTCCCCTGCCACAAGCTCGCCGCCTCCGAGCTGATGAGCCTCGGCAAGCTCGACAAGACAGCCGCCATCCAGACGTTCATCTGGCTGTTCCCGCACCCGCACTGCGCCATGTCAGAGCTCGACCACCTCTTCTGGGGACTCATCGCCCTCGAAGAGGGCCCCAAGTATCTGGAGCACGGAGTTCTGGGATACAGGCTGGGATTGCTCACGACGCTGGTCATGCACTGCGAGCGCAAAAGCCCCGAGAGAGAGCTGGGAGCGGATCAAGGAGAGAGGGAGAAGAAGAAGGAGACAGAGATGACGGCTGAAGAGATATTGGGAGATGAGCGAAATGCGTTCACGCTGCAGGCGTGCATGACAATGTTTGACTATCTGCTCCGGCCGTCGGGTAGGAAGGAGTCTGAGGTGGGCGAGGTGAGGAGGGTCTGTAAGGAGGTTCTGAATCGGTTCTTTGAGGGGAAGCGGGATGAGGATGTGGTGGGGTATATTGAGAGGGTTGGGTCTGAGGAGTTGAGGGGGGAGGCTGAGGGGATGGATTTGTTCCATTTTGGGAGGGGGGTGTTGGAGGCGAAGGAGATGTTGACGGGGGAAGGGGGTAAGGAGGTTGTGATCTGATTTTGTTACAAAACGAATCTTTTTGGCTTTGTTATTGCAGATTGAAACCAAATACATGTACCAGGTCAAATACGAAGAAAGGGAAATTGACTGCTTCATTTACCTAATAATCCCAATTTTTTTTTTTTTTTACCAAGCAACAACAACGTAGCAATACCTCACAGGAAATTATCAAACCACCTAACCGCCTGCAAGAACGCCCCCTCCTTGCCAAACTTCTGCGCCGGCACCGACACGTTCACCCTCACGCCAAACCCGTGCGACGTGCCCGAGTACAAGTTGACCTGGTACGGCTGCCCCGTCGTCGGCAGCAGCGTCTCGATCTCCGCCCTGCGCGCGGGCAACATCATGCTGTCCGTCTGCGCGGCTGCAATGGCCGCGGGCGCTTTGATGGCCAGAATCTCGGTGTTGTCTAGCAGGCTGGGGTGGGCGGCAAATGCGACGTCGGCGCCGCCGCCCTCGGCCACGAAGCGGAACGAGTAGCGGCCGCCGAAGCAGTAGCCCGTCACGCCGATGCGCTTGATGCCCAGGACGTTGCGCAGGTAGAGGATAGTGGCAGCGATGGGGGCGTCTGTTACCTCGGGGCCGTGGCGCGCGATGAAGGCGGTCGTGTTGAAGCCGGGGATGTTGATGTCCTGAAGTGCTGGGTCGCCGTTGAAGAGGTCGGGCGCGATGGTCAGGTAGCCCGCGCGGGCGAAGCTGTCTGCTAGGCTGTGGGTTGCGTGTCAGATTATTGGGGACAAGTCGTATTGCATATTGCATGGGAAATGACTGGAGGGAAAAAACAAACAGCTTGTTCTGGTCCAGCTCGATTCCAAACACATCGGTCAGATATAAAACAGCGGCATCGGGCTTCTTGCGGTCCTTGTCTGGTTTGGAGATGTACATGGTGACTGTTATCCCCTGTCAGTATCGATCAAGTGGTGTTCCCTCTGGGGCAACTGACCATTATCGTGAACCTCGACCTTGCCCACTGGTGTTCCCGTGTGCGCGACAATAGTCTCATCAACCGCACAGTTTGCCTTGCCGTGCTTGCTGGCCGTCGCCAGCCCACTCAAGGCCAATGACGCCAGCAATGAAATGCTAGCAGCGCGCATTTTGGCAAAAGTCGCGTCAGGCCTCGCTTTGCGTGTTGTGACGTGAAGTGAACTTGTCGTGCGATTGAGTGCTGGAACCTTTGCTTGGCGATAGTAAGTATGCCCACAAACAAACAAAAGACCAAAAAGATTCAAGGAAGGAGATCGATGTTTTAACGAGAGAGGGTCGATCCCAATTTGTATTCAGGAACGACAGGTACCCGTCGTATCAAGTATCCGCCGCGCAATATCACATACCTGTCTGTATATGCCATGCATCCATGCCAATTGAACAAAAAGTTCCCCAGTCGCACTGGGCTGGTAAACAACAACCCCCCCCCCCTTTTAATATGCACAAACAACAAATTCCGTACCTTATCGATCCCCGCATTTCACCACCACCCCCGTAAATCTACCTATCTCCCTTGGATGGACCCTTCCCACGTATACCGGTGCCGACATAAATTCGGAAGCTTTAGCCTTTTCATCCCAGATGAGGTAGGTGGCTGCCCTTACCAAGACAAGGGAGGGTGCCGTTGCTGCCGGCGCCGAGTCTCGGTTAATGGGGACCTTCCAAGTCTGGTCTGAGACACTGCGGCGGCAGTGGCTGTGCCGACGGGAACGGGAGTTGCTGTATCGAGGGCATGCGCGTCCCACACCACGACGAGAGTATAAGGTGCGCCGGGTAAACCACCTATCTCTGCACAAGAGTGGGTGAGTATGGTGGGTTGCATCCCGTGGCTTGGCAAAGCACATCATGGTTGAAGGGTGGACATATTGACTCCGATGCCGCGTCGAACTTCAAGCCTGTGCATGTTGGAAATGCTTCGACTTCTGGAAAAAGGTGTGACCGGCATTTCGCAACTCAGCACCAAAATCTTCTTCCAAGCAAGTATAATACTAAAGATATCAACAGTCCAACTAACCTGACCATGTCTAATCAATACAATCCCCTCTAGGATATGAACAGGGCGTCGACATCTCTTCTCATCCTCGTCCCTCGTTCACCCAGTTCCGGTAAGGAGGTGTGCCATAGGTGACCTGCCCATATACACCGTTATCAACAGACGTTAGGGGGTAAATACATGTACAAACACGGCTACGCCATGTCTCGTTTCCTCTCGTCTCGTCTCGTGCTCGTCTAGACATATCGAAAATCATTATAGTCGCCGCAGGCGCTCTCTGCATATAAACAAACACAAGAACAGCCCGAGCGGGAGGTGTCCTTACCCAAGGCAACGCAAACTCATTTGTCTCTTCGTCTCAGACGTCTTCCGCAGCGACTGCCTCATACCCGCCTGTTCTCCGCCCGCGTATCTCATCGATCATGCTGGGGCTCTCGTACATCTCCGTGTAATTGACAGGCTGCCCACCAATTACGGCGGCACCCGTCTCCCGCTTCCCGAATACCGGTGCAGGGTCGCACCAAAAGTCCTTGCAGTTGGTGAGGCAGCCACGGCTGTAGGGGTTCTTCTTGCGGCGCTTGCTGCCTTTCCCTGTGGCCGCCCCGCGACCCGCCGCTGTCTCGATGAAGGAGTCGACGCCGAGCAGCTTGCTCCACTGCTTGAGGAATCCTTGGCCGTGCTTGTGTCCATGACCATGGCCATGGCCACCGGCAACGCCAGACTGCACAGCAGACCCGGAGGGCGGTAGTTGTGGTGCATCGAGTGGGGTGCCGGTGGAAGTGAAGGCACTGTTGAGCGAGGTACTGGCGTGGTGGTCGATGCCGAACATGTTTTCGGATGTGGTCATAGCGCGTGATACCTGCACAAACTGCACAAACAGTAGCATGGAGACCCATACGAGCTGCAGTGATGCCCATATAGCGAGAAGCACGCTGTATGCGTCGGCGTTGACGATACGACACAACGAAGGGGCCAGAATATTGCACTCCTCTGAGGTATTTGCGGATATCTCGGTCAAATCTGGTTGGCGAAGGTTAGCAACGCGCGGGGTGATACAGGGAATATCAAGTCTACTCACAATTATAGGTTAACCAGTCAAAAAGAATAATACCACCAGTCAGATTCACGAGGTAAAGGAAAAAGTGGCGATGGTTATTGATGCCAATGCAGTTGTAGACCCAAGGGCAATGACTGGTACGAAGAGTTAGCCATATGAAATGCAAGGAATTGATGGTTGTAGAACTGACTGATCATGCTTGGCAACGCAGCGTTGGCACCTGCGGCAGTGCTTGCTTCTCAGTGGCGTTCGAATCATGCACGTAACACAAAAGTTGGTCTCGTCAAACTTCCAGAGGCTGATGAGCTCATCGATAGCGGCCTTTTGTTCGGCAATGCCGTTCATCTTTGGCACAAACCCAGGATCGTCGACCATACACCTGACGTAAAACCAGGCGGTAAGGGAAGAGAAAATAAAAAAAGCAAAGTTTGATAGCCAGAAGTTGTCTGTGAAGATTGATCAGTATCTCAAACGGATTAGATTTGTCTTGGTTGAAAGAAAACCTACTCGTTCCGAACGCCGTGTTTGGCAATAGAGTCATGAACCAGTTCATCCCGACCAAGAATAACGATGCGGCAAATATGCCCGCCA